CGCCCTGCCCCGTGTGGTGCTAGTCGGGGTCCGAAGCTCACGAGCCCCAGCCCACAGCTCTGTCTTCCCGCCCACCCTAGGCATCGAGGAGCTGTGTCAGAAGCGAGAGGAGCTGTGCCGGCAGATCCAGCAGGAGGAGGATGAAAAGCAGCGGCTTCAGAATGAGGTGAGGCAGCTGACGGAGAAGTTGGCCCGCGTCAACGAGAACCTGGCGCGCAAGATCGCCTCTCGCAACGAGTTTGACCGGACCATCGCAGAGACAGAGGCCGCCTACCTCAAGGTGGGGCTTTCAGCTGTGCTCTGTCAGTGCCTCACTAGGATCTCAGGCTCGGGCCCATTGCGGTTCCGAGGCTGTTCTGTCTATGGGATCCAGGAGAGTGAGCAGGCGGTGTATTGGAAAGAGTACATGGTGTGGGCCAGAACTAACGCAGCGTGGCTTTGCAGGGAGGGTGGGTTTGGGGAGTGTAACTATTACCCTACCCCCCACCCCCCGTGGCCGGTTGGTTTCAGCACAGGCCAGATGGAGATTCCCATTTTCCAGAGTGAGTGGCTGAGGCGGTGAGATCTTCCTACCAGAGAAATAACAATCCTTTTATTTCTCTGGCCCCAGATCCTGGAGAGCTCTCAGACTCTGCTTAGTGTCCTCAAAAGGGAAGCTGGGAACCTGACTAAAGCCACAGCCTCAGACCAGAAGAGTAGTGGAGGCAAGGACAGCTGACAAGTGGCTGTCTCAGCCGTGGCCTATGGCTGCCCAGTCCCCAACATGTCTGTCCTGAAGCATCTTTGTTCTTCGTGGCCTTAGATGCCTTCTCACTATCTCAGGTGCCCAGAGGGGCAACTTCCGACCTCCACCTGCCTTGGGTGACAAGAAAAGCCCTAGGACAGTCCAATAGGAAAGGAGTTCCTGGCTCTGTACTCACATGTGTCATGGGGACCCTGAGCTCCTGGTTAGCTCCATGAGGGGCCTCTCTCGGAAGCTCCTGTATCCCCTTGGGCTGCCAAGGAGGCCCTGGTCCTAGTCCAAGTACTGTGGGAGCCCCTCACTTTGTCTCCTCAGCCACTAAGGGCCCAGGCCAGGCATGTTGAGGAAAGAATCCTGACTCCAGAACGGAAACCTTAGGGCCCATCCCCATGGTCTCTGATGTTTCAATAAAGATTGTTTTACAAAGATCTGAGGCATCGTCTGCCATCTACCATGTATTCTGTGGTAGGGAAGAAGTTTCCCCGGACTATCCTATCTTCAAACGCAGAACTGAGGCCAGCCCTAGTCCTTACCTCTGCTTGTAAAGGTGCTGGTCTTTTCCTTTGAGTCCAGTTCACAAACCACTTTCCTGTGAGGGGCTTTGCTATGCCATGGAGGTGAGTACAGAACAGAACCTGGCAACACTATAGCAGCTATTCTGGTTCTAAGTGCCGTCGTGGACTGGGGTTCTTCATATAGCATGTCTGTTCCTCAAAGTTCTGTTTGGTCCAATACACTGCTGTTGCTGACAGGACCCATCTCCCAACCACAGGAATTGCTTACTCCTATCTCCATGTGCCCTATGGCCCAGCCCTTTGCCACAGCTTCTCCGGGGCAAGTTTGGAAGTATTTGTTGAACAAAAAGATCCAGAAAACAGGTTTGGTAATTTATACCTGTAATCCCAACACCGAGGGAAAAGGATGGCTTTAAGTTCAAGGCCATTCTAGGCTGCATAGTAAACTGTAAGCCAGCTTGGGTTATAGTGGGAGACCCATTTTTAAACAAAAAGTATCCATAACACTGGACTTATTCTCTGAGGGAAACATAGGTAACATTCATCTGAGCCCAGTCAAGCATTGTATCTGCTCTTAGGTGACAGGAAGAGAAAACACTTGCAGTTAGTGCCTGTGACAGTTTGCCCACGTCTGTAGATAGCCCTATCTCTGCACTGGCTGCCCAAGCCTCTGAGGACACAGCTTCCAAGCTCTGCATCTCCCTGGACTCCTGGGGTTCTCTGTTGCTAGGGCCTTGTTACAGTCTCATTGGTCAGGAGGTATCCAAATCAAACATGAGAAAAGATCTCCCAAGTTCCACTTTGCCCATTCCTATGCTGTACACAACTAGCTATATTACTAGGTGCGTGGCCCCATGGTGAATCCTTAAAAACACTTACCTTCCTCCCATCTGACATTTAGGTACCTGGGACATAGCGTTCCAGACCTGAGATTAGACCACTTACCACTGTACTAGTTTTGAGGGGGAAAGTAACATGCTTGGGATGGGGAGAGAACAAGGACAAGATCCTGAACCAGCAAGACCTCAAGGTATGAGAACACCAGACTGAGGCCACCTTTTGCTTCTTTGTACAGGTGCCCAAGTTAGGCCTCCACCTTGTTCTCAGACTAAGGTCTGTGTAAAAAAAGGCAAAAGCAGCCTTGTTACAGTGCTGTTTATTGAGTCCAATATCGGGAAAAAATACCCTGCCATCCATCATTAAGGGTAGCTGAGTTCTACCATAGAATCATGGGCTGAGGGCAAGAGCTTGGGGTTCAGCAAAGAGCAAATAGGACAGCCTCTCACTCCTGACAGTGGGCACTCCCCAAAAGGTAGGAGTTGAGAGGCAGGACAGATAGCACCCTGGGACAAGATCTGTTCAGGCCCCAACCTCCTCACAGATGGGACGATATAAAGGCAGATGTCAGCCTGCTCCCATCTGTTATTCCTTGGAGCCCCAAAACAGAAATGAGATTCAGACCTAGCTCTAAAGCAGGAACCAACAGGGAGAGAGGAAAGCAGAAAGAGCAGATGGAAGGGCACAGAATAATAGTCAGGGCTCCTGGGCATTGACTGGCTTCCAGAGCCACCACACCTGGGGCTGTCTTGGCCATCCTGGCAGCTCCAGGGGTCAGAAATAGAGAGCTGGTTCGCTGCGGAAGTCCGAGAGATCATTCTGACTGGCAGGTGTCAGCTGAGAGAAAGAATAGAATATAGCCACTATGGATTTCCAGGCATCAACCCCTTCCCAAGCAGGCCAGCCCTTGGAGGTCTGGGTGTTTACCCCTAACTCCATCCTGGCTTACCATGACTTCCTTCGGTGGGAGTTCCACCTCACTTGGAGCCTGCACCACCGTCTGCTCCTGCCACTTGCTGAAAGCCATGGAATGCTTGGGAGTATAGCTGGACAGGCCTTTGGACCAAAGAGAATAGGCATAGACACATGGAAAATGTGGCCCAGGTTCCACCCCCAGGCTGTCCATCCCAACAGGCGGTGATTACCTGAGCTGCCATCTGGTAGTCGGGGGATCTCAGGTCCCACACTGCTTACAAATGTGGCCCGGGGCAGGAAGACGGAGAAAGGCTTCTCTGAATCAACTTCCTCCCCTTCACCATCCTTTTCTCCTTCCTCTTCGTCCTCCGCCTCTTCCTGTTCCAGGGAGCTCTCAGAAGGGTACTCAAATGTTGTATACAGGCTGTTGTCATTGAAGGAGATCTTCATCTAGGAGTAAGAGCCATGTCAGCAGGGGTCCTACTACCCAGTTAAGCAGAGATGCTAGCAGGGAGAGAAGACCTTTCTACAAAGAGTTACAGGCCCCACCTATCCTACACTCTGCTGGCAGCAGCTCTTAAAGCTAATTCCACATTCTAGGTATCTGTGCACCTAAAACATCCTGAGCACCAACCATCATACTGTCAGGGGCCTGCTTCCTTCCCACACACTCACTCACTCCTTCCCTCCCTCCCTCCCTCCCTTCCCCCCTTCCTCCCTCCCTTTCTACCATCCCTTCACCCAATAAAACTCTCTACATTAATTTAAAAAATAATAAGGCTAACGCTCAGAACATCACCCATTTTTTCAGGCTGACAGGGTATCCTACTTCCATAGAGTTTAGGGTTTCCACAATATCATCAGTGACTCGCAACTCCTACCCTACTGTGTACCTCAATGGCTCTGGAATTTCATATTCAAGCAAATTTTCCCTTCTCTCCCAGTAGCCTGGTTCTGAAGAACAGAAAGCTATGGGCATCCTCTGTCATGATCCTCTTGTCTGCTACCTGGGCTGGGAGTGCCCCCCCCCACACACACACACACATGCACCTCAGTTTATGACTGCTGAGGTCCCTAGCCCTCTCGGCTGAGCTCAGTCTAGTGGGTTGGTAATGAACATGAGCACTCTTCTGCAGCAGATGGGGCAGTCTTGCCGGGCTCGAAATATTAAACTCCCAGGCACAGGACACCAACAGCCAGCTCAGGTTCCCCCTCTTCCCCTGGAAGGAGCCAGAGGCCCAGCAGGATGGAAGAGTGGCCTGGCAGGAGGGTTGAGCCTCTCCTGAGGCAGCAAAGTGACCCTGGCACAGGCCCACAAAGGCCCACAAAAGCAGGAAGCCTGGATTAGGAGCCAGCATCCTGCCTCCTGTCCCTCTCAACCAATGGCCACACTAGCCCACATGGCTACTGATACCCCTGAGCCCTCTCTGCCCATTGGGAGATTCCCCTCCCAATGAGGAAATGAGAACCAGGGGAAAGGCCTCAGGAATCAGAGCACCTAGCTCCTTAGCCTGTTCAGGTCTATTCTTGCAGGTCCTCCCTACTTTGGCCATCTGCACACATGAACAGGCAGATGGAGAGACCCCCTGAGTCAGGCAAAACACAGATGTCCATGCCATATGAAGGCATGTTGTACCCTGCTCTGGTCTCAAGGCCTACCTAGTTCTTGAAGACTAGGTCAAATTGGAGACAAGTGAGGTAGAGCCATAGGGACATTGTCACTTGGCCTTCCTGACTTATCTTCTGAGACAGGTACCCTACCTAGTAGGAGCCCAAGACCATATAGGGCCTAACAGCATGAAGCCTTCTACACTAAAGTGGCCCCTGAATGGGGCCCTTGAGGCCCATCCCCCTACTACTGAGAATACAGGACCAGCTGCCAGGGCCCAGCTGGATTAGCACACCCTCATTAGTCTGCATGACCAGTTTCCACAGGGAGGCTGGGGGGATAGATACATGTGAGTATGGTGCCTGGCACAGCCTGGCCAGGCTGGGGGTGGGGAAGTGGCTTATAAGCCTGCCTGTCTCAACTGGGGCCCAGCTCCCCCCAGTCACTTACTATCTCCCTTGTCTCCTCTGTCAGACCAGTGTTGATAGGCCTCCTCCCTTCCAGCATAGGTCAGTGGGTCACATGGTGACTCATGCTGCAAGGGGTGGAGCTGCCAGGGCAGGTGGGGGAGGTACAGGCAGGGATTGTCACTGTGCATAACCTGGTCACCAGTATCTGGGGGACTTTACCCAGCACACCTAATACAACAGGCAGGTATGGAACCTATGGGCTTTCACAGGGCCTATGGTGGCAGAACCTCCCAGCTTTTACAGGGCCCTTTTGTTCTCCTTCAACCTGCCCTACCCATACACACCCAGCTTGGGTTACTGAATGGTGTCCACCCTGGGACTCAAAGCAGGGAAACTGCTCAACTGGCTGGAGGTGATGTTTAGCCAGACCCTGCCCCCACTCCCTTGCACACACGTCTGTCTCCCATCCCCCCATTGGTCCCCAGCCAAAGTTCCCAAGGGTGGCAGGACAATAGATCAGAGCTACCCAACTGGGATATCCACAGCTGCTTCTTCCTGAGTGCAGACCTGATAACAGTGAGAAGATTGCATGAATAAGAGTCTAGTCCCTCTCTGGGGTCTCTGGCCTCAGAAAGATCATTTAGGGGGTCACCCATGAGAAGACTTGGGGGAGGGAAACTGAACAAAAAGGCGGGTGGTAAGACACTCAGACTTCAATGAGGGGAGGCAGTTGCAGACTGAAGGAAGATGTTGTTACTGGAAAGAGCCAAAAGGACAGACACACCTTCAAATGGGAGCCAGGCTGAGGGTCACAACTAGGCCACAGAAGTTAGGGTGAAGGTTACACCTTCAGGGAAGGTGGGAAGCCTGAGCCCTGAGGACACTAACACGCTTGGGTGTGGCACCGGAACAGGAGGTGGGAAAGAGGAAGAAGCAGCCAGACAGGAGCCACTGGTGCTCCCAATCAGGGAGGGAGGGTTAAAAGGACACCCCTCTTGCCAAGAAGACAGTGGGGGCTGGGAGGCTTCAACACACTACATCAGAGAAGAGGGGTACAGACAGGGGCTCTCTCCCAATAGATAACCTAAATGGAAATGTCTCTGCCAAGCTGCCCCTCAAAGACACTGGGCATCATTGTCCAGAGCAGTGCTGAATCCCTGGGAAGTCATGATACCCTCTGTCAAGCTGCCAAGACAAGGCAGGTTACCCCCACATCATGCCCTGCTGCCTAGAAGGCCCAATGAAGAGCAATCCCTCACCTACCCCCTAGAAAACCACCAGCATTGCCTTGGGGTCACCCAGTCATGGGGGAAGGGGGACCAAAGTGTAGTTGCTCCAGGTCCTTTGGGCCCACCTACTCCCACCAGAAGGAAGCAGGAGTCTGGACCAAGCCAATGACTTGAGCCTCAAAACAAGCACCCTGGGTTTCCCTAGGGGCTGCAGGTAGGAGAAATGTCAGGGAAAGGACAAAGTACATGAATGCCTCACCCTGCACACTGTTCTGAAGGTTGGGCAGCTCTGTGCCCTGCCCCCTCCCACAGGCATTCTGTGTCTTGCTGGGCAGGGCAGCTGGTGCATGCACAGGCAGGAGAGCACAACCAGCAGGTTGCACAGATACAGGAGGCCCTGCCCAGGCCACTTGGCCATAATAAGCATCATCCATCTGGACCCTCAGCTACCCCAGACCAGCCAAGACAGCCAGGCTGCTGGCCAGGGCCCTCCCCAAGCCCCTGCTGATATCTGGGCCTTGACCTGCTTTTGTTCTTGAAATCTACATGAACCACCACACCTGGTACACCTGCTCTTCTCACTTTAACCCTGCCATGAGTGACTCCCACAGGTTGTCTCTAGACAGGGCAGGATAGCCAGGCTCTTAGTAGCAGCCTTTCAGTCTCAAAATGAAACTAAGTTCAAGGTGAAGTATCCCAGGATAGGAGCAAGGCTCTGGAAATAGGAACCTGAACTCAGCTCCTGTCCCATGAGCTCCACGGCCTCATGAACCTCCTGAGCTTCTGCTTCCTCATCTCCATAAGGGGTGCTTTCATCACTTCTCGGACAAGCATGGGGATGGCCACCTCACAGAGATGCCAAGGCCAGGGTCAGGAAGCAGGGAAGGAAGGAGCAGAAAAGAGGGAGAAGAGGCATGGATCAGTATGCCCTAAGAACTCGGGGTAAAGAGCACAGATGACATGGAAGAGACGTGGCCTCGTGTGGCAAAAACTGTAACAGCCTGGGTCCCCTCACCTGAATCCAAGAAAGATCACTGTGGATTCCTGACCCAGCAGATGAATTGGCAAGAGAGATGAAGCCAAGCCCAATGGTGACAGGAAGCAAAAAGTGATGGAAAAAAATGAAGAGTGAGGAGGTGGTGTGGCTTATTACAAAGGGTCTCCAAGGAAATTGAGGCTGGAGGTGGTTAACCTGGGTGAGCCTAGTTTCTAGCTGTGGAGCAGAAACTGTAGGTGCCATCTTGGCAGAAGGGAAAGGTGCACCTCCCTGTACCAGCTGACTGAGAGTCATGTGTGGTTGGTCTTGGAATTTGCCCCAGGGGATAAACACAGACCCTGGAACAATCAGGAAGAATCTGCTGAACGCTTTCCTTGTGCCCAGAGGGTTCCAAGCCACTGGCCAGAGCTAGACAGGAAATATGGCTCACTCTGGCCAACTATGAGCCTCTAGGGGATTGTTCTTCAGTATCTCTGCCCAAGCTCCTCTTGACCAAGTCTGGCATGAAGCCTTGGTGCTCAATCCATGCTTGCAGGAGGCAGAGGCCTGCCAAGCTCTGACTCCTGTACCTTCTAGGGTGCTGAAAACCTCTGGTTGGTGTATAGGCTGTGTCCAGGCTGACCTCTGGGTGAGGATCTGCAAGGAATGACTGGCCTAACTCCTCATTTACATCCAGGCTCTGGATATCTGTGCCATCCAGGTTCCATAGGAATATACCAGGCTACCTTCCAATCAAAGACCAAGTCAGAGCCAACAGGCCAGGCTATTTCCTGAAGGTAGACCTGCAATTAGTTGGAACTAACCATTCCAAAGGATGAAGGAGCTCTACACTGCCTGGCCAGCTCTCCCTTCCAAATCTCTGGGGTAAACAGTAGGCTGACCGACCCCAGCCTTGAGCCAGAACAGCTCAAAGGCCCTGAACATGGCACAACCACATAGCCCAATTTTTATCTACATAGAAACCGACCATGCCAGCAGCCCTCTCCCTACCTACCACTTACCTTCTTTCTTGAGGAGCCAGCCTTGATGAGGCAGGACTTCTGCAGGGCCAGGTAACCACCAATCACTTCAATCTCATGCACAGTGGGGTAGCGTTTCTTAAGGGTGTTCTCCAGAGCAGTGTGAGGTCCTGAGAGACTATCAGCATCCTGTTCCTCAGCCTCCTGTTGCTGGGACTGCCCATTGGCCTGACTGAAGTGTGGCACCTGAAGGGTCTCTGGCTTCCTCTTGGGCACCACTATGAAAGTATTGCTCCCTCGATTTGGGAGCTCTGAGGTGTGCCTTGGCCTGGCAAGGTCCAGGTGATACTGGGAAGGTAAACCAACTGCTGAGGACGGCAGTTTGGTTTCTTGGGAGGCCTCCTCTTCTGAGTCTACTTCATCAATGAAGGTGACTGGAAGTCCTGACCTCCCAGGCTCCTGGCCATTCTTGGCCAAGCCAGAAAGCCCCAAGCCCTCAGCTGGCTCAGCTTCAACAGTGGTTGATAGAAATGGAGGTGGTGAGGATGGCCTCTGCCACCTAACAGACCTGTCTGTGACAGCAGTGGCTGGCCTGGGGCAGCCCCCCTCCCTAGCTGCCCACTGCATCTCAGCAGCCAAGGGACTCCCCTCTGGGGCAGGGGCACCATCCACTGTAGACACCAGCTGGGCTCTGAGCCCCTGGCTCCGAGAGGCCCAGCCTACCTCCCCGTTTGGCTCTTCTGACTGCCTCCCCTCTGCCTCCGAAGGGGCTTTGCGCTTGGGGATCAACATGAAGGAATTGCGGGAGTTAACACGGAGGTTGGCCAGAGCCCTGGCCTGAAGGTCCCCGATTGGGATACTTTCCACGTCTGGCTTGGGGGCCGGCCTTATTTCGAAGGAGTCATTGGCGCTTGTG